ATTATTTTATAATTTGACACTATACAATATTAAATTTTTCTTTAGGATTTGTATGAATCTATAAATAAAAAAACAAAATTGGAAAATGAAAAACTTGAAAATATGGGTTTGGAAATAATGTCTGAAAATGCTCAATATAAACAAACAATAGATGGGATGGCTAAACATATAGTTTATGGTAACATTATTTGTTATAATAATAATAGAATATGTCACTAATAAATAATAATAGTCTTTATTTTGAATATCTTTTTGGTTTATTAATAATATCAATTTTGTAGATAAGTATTAGATTGATTTTGGTTACAGATTGTTGGAAATCAACTGCTATCATGTCAACAAATGCTGTGTGTTTTTTACTTTTGAAACGATTTAGAAATGGCACAACAATAGAACAGTTGGCTTTAGAATTATCTTTATTGCGTGATAAATTGTCTCAAGCTGACAGGGATGTTGGTTTCAGTGGTAATTCTATAGATATTGTTAAACATGCTGTAAGTAGATATACAATGACATTTTTTTTTGGAAAGTATAAAAATTGTTTTTTGTATTTCAGTTAGGTCTTTTAGTTCCAAAGCTAGTTGTTTATGAAAAAACTGACGTTGGACCTATTGTTAAACCTATTCTCACTGTACCAAGTCTAATAGAATTATCATATTATGGGAACAGTCTTCTTTCTCACTATCTTCATTCATCAATTGTAGGTTAGTATGATATGAATTTATAAGTACCTGTATTCTTTTGATTAGAAATAATTATGTTATTAAAGAAGAAGTTTATTATCTATCCTACTTCTGTCTAAATTTTACAACATCCGATATCAACGTACATATCTAATTGATTATAAATGACTAGTAAATATATTTTAATGAATAGTATGTAATGCATATCAACATTTTCATACAAATATTCTTTTTGTGAATCTGTTTTTAAAATAGGGCTTTTTTATTTGGAAATCTAAAGTGTATGTTTATCAGAGTAATAACTGTAAAAGTAAAAAGCGAGAGTAAAAAATTGTAAATATTGTTATTACAGAATTTAAAAAATTCCCTAACGATTGAAAATAATTGAAATCAAACCCACCTAAGCATCTGAGAAAATCTCTGGTTCATGTTAATGAATCACTGTAAAAAATAAGATATTTATTATTTATTAAGTTAACTTTAATATAATGACATTTATACATTTACCCAAATATGTATTTAAATGATTGGCAATAATTGTGAATTATTTATACCTAATATTTTTACAGCTATGGCATTGAGTAAACTAGTGTGTCCAGAGTTTTGGAATAAAACATTAACTGAAACAAAAATCTCGGGAAATGAATTGTTAGAGGATTTGATATTTTTAACTGAATTATTGCAATTTGACTTTGTATTTATTAAACCATGCGATAGCCTGGAAAATGTTTTAGAATCGGTACTTCGACAATTTGAATCAGAAGGAATTGTTTTAATAGATATGGTATTTAAGAAAATGCGAATTGTTTTTACCTGACTGATTACAGTACAAATGTAAGTTATATTTTCTTTTATTTTACAGCTACTTGATGAAGAGAGACGAAGTCAACATATAGCCAAACAATTAGATAGTGATTCTGATGATTCATATGATTCAGATAAACCCTATGAGAAATTTGATGTTAAATATCGTGTAAGAAAATTGTTTTTTTAATTATTTTGTATAATATTAATTTTGACATGTTTATTTTAATTTGATAACAACATTATATAATGTTATAATTATGTAATGTGTTTTGAGTTGCGGAGAACACTCCCTAACATGTTACTTATTATACCATTAAATAACATGTATGTAAAAATTAATACATATTTCTAATGTATACCATTCAACATTTTATCAAATATTATCATNTATGTAATATTTTTATTGGCCATATTTATTCAAAAACCTAAAAGTGTAAAGGCAGATGACAAATTTTGTTTGGTAGGAGTGATTAGATCCTCCCCCTTATAAAGGGGTTTTTTCTATGTTTTTGGTATGTTTCCATATGAAGTCTGTCAGTCATATAGTATCTACATTAATAGTTTATTTTCATACACTATCAGAGCATGTTTTAAATACTGATAATTTTCAGTTCATATTAAAATTTACATTAGATATATAGTAGATAAGATGTACGCACATTAGAAATTAATGTTCTTCTCTAATAAATGAAAAAATTTTTTATTATAGATTAGTGCTGATGAAAACAGTTTGAATAAAATAAAGTTTTATCGATCAATTATCATGCCGTACTTAGAATGTATGGCTGAATGTGCTGGAAGTTTTTATGATTTGAATGATGATACAGTGCCAGAACGCTTACATGTGCAAACTATTTTAGAACAAATGCATGAAAATTTGGCAGATGGCTATTTAGTTCATGGTAAATTTTGATGCACATTATTTTTCGTTTTATGTGTATGAATGCTGTAGTAAATTTTATAATAAATATCATACTCAAATTCTAACTTAAGAATTCATTTTCACTCAACCTCTGGTATATTGAAATTTTAATTTGTCTGTTGCAACGTAAACATATAATTGTAATTTGATTTATAATTGACTTTTACTTACTTATTATTATATTGAACTAATGTTTTACAGGAGAGAGTATATCTGTGGATACAATTAAACATTCATTTTTAGCATTTGAAAAATTTCACTGCTTAACAATTACTACAACCGATAATGTAAAAATGTTGAGTCTCATTGATAACGAACGTAATGAAAACCTCAGAGAAAATATGATTAGTATGTCTAAATATATTGAAGGATTTGTGAAACAATTAGACTAAGTGATAAATATTCTCTTTTTAAAACTTATAATGTAATTTAAAACAAATGTATTCATTTGCTCAATTTTATTGGACTGTTGATATTTTAAAGAAATTATTTTATCAATGTTTGATTTATTTTCAAGTATTATAGTATGGATAAGTCATAAAATATTTAGATTAATGTTAGTTTCTTGCCTTAGTAAAATAAGTTTTGTTCATACTATAGTAATTAAATTTACATTATTATATATTATTTTTTACTTTGAACTTCTTAATTTATAATTAGATTTTTGTATTTAGCTCAAAAATCACCAAAATATATATATTTATACATTTTTCCTAAATATGTTATTATTGAGGTTCAGAAGTTATAGTAGCTAAATTTAAAAAAATCTTCATTAAGAAAAAATGAATATGTGTTGAAATCGATTAAAAATATTGTATTGTAAGTCAAACACTAAAAAAAACAACTATTATTCATAGTTTACAGATGTTTTATTGGTTTTAATTTTAAATAGAAGAATTGTTTTTAACACGTTGACTGCCATGAGGGTCATTTTTGTCCCTCAGAAGAATTTTTAATTGGGCTAAGAGGGGTCAATTTGTCCCTCAAGGCTATGTTGTCTATATCGACTCGTGAGATCAAATAGCCCCTCGGTAACCGTCAAAATAACGCACTTTCAGATTCTCTGTTATCTACAGAACAAAATGCTCTATTTAGCATTTAAATATTATTAAATGGAAAGACAAAAGGTATCTCCTAATGTTGAGTTCAAAACATGTTGATACAACCACAGCAATAACCAAAAGAAATCAAACCATTAATAAACCTGTGATGGTCATTGAATATAATCAGGGGAAGAGTTTTATCGACAGACGTGATTAAATGACATCATATTCTACATCTTTGAGAAGAAGTTTGAAATGGTACCGTAAAGTTGTTTTTGATATTTTGCTTGGTACTTGCCTGACTAATGTCTTATCACTATTTTGTACAGTCAATAATAAAAAAATTAAAATTACAGAATTAACAGTTGCTGTTTAGACCCTTCCGCATTGGCCTAAGACGTCTTTTATTATTTGGATTGATATTAATTTTGTTCACTTTATAATAATAATAAAGATTGAACTTAATTTGAGAATTCCTTTGTGTATTTTTCTTGGGTTTGAAATATATAAAGCTGTTACATCAAATAAACTAATATTATAACTAAAAATAAGTATTCCTTATATGATATGAAATTGTATTATGTTTTATGTCATTAGTTGATAAGTTATTCTATTTTTGTCTCGACAACAAAAAAAGAAAATTATCAATGAATGATAGGAAATTATTTGTTGTACATGTCCAGGTGCAATACTTGTTATTTCACTTAAGACTATGAATGTAAACTGTTATTAATTTTTTTTTTTTTTCTAAATGGAGAAAATAGTTGAGAATGGAGAATAGTTGTTCGAGAACAACTATTAATATAACAAATATTACAACTATAAATCTACCTTTATTCAACATTTGTAACTACAGAAGTATATTTTGTATTTTTAAATGTACTTAATTTTAATATAAGTGTATATAAAAATTTACTAATTTTTCCTCATTAAAACTACCTTTGTATCATAGTCTTAGTATAATTTATTAATTATATTATAGTTTGGTTTGCCTCATTTTGCCCCTGTGCGCGGTATTAATTTTTAATACTACAGAAGTATTGTACTTCAGTGACAAAATTTTTCTAAAATAATTAAATCAAATTATTTATGTGCTTCTTTTAAGCAGACAAGAAACGTTAGATATATTGATACGATTACAATGTTGAAAGAATTGGACCTAAAGAATCCCCAGAGTATTCAGTCACGTGATTTTTTTATTTTCAAAAAATACGGTGACAATCGAAAAACAAATTGTTTTAATAAATTAAGTACCAACGAAATTATTAATAATTTATTAAATCACCAAATTAAGTAGAATGTAGTGATAAAGTATACAGTATACATAATATACAGTAATAAAGGATTTTTATTATTTTTTTTTTTAAACAAATAGTTCATAAAAAAATGAAAAATAAGATTACAACAAACGAAATAAAAAAGTAATAAATAAGTTAAAAAGAAAAGAAATCATATACAAAACATGCTCAAACAACACTCAAAAAAAAAAGTTCCATTCTTTTCCGGTCACGTGAACCTAAAAAAGAAATGCAAGTAGTAGTTGTAGTAGTAGTACT